CTAATTGCTTATATTAACCGTGATACATTAGCGATTTCATGTTTCCACGCATAAGCTTTTTAAAATATTAAATTACTAGTTAATTATTTTAAAAGTTAATTCCCGTAAAAAAAAACTACAGTAAACTAAGAACATAATAAACTTATCGTAAATTCCACAACGTCGGTTTATCTCGTTTTCTTTCAATATAATTGAATGCAGTGACATAGCTCTCATAGGGCAAAGTAGTGCAAAGTTTACAGGAGACCTAGAGCACGGATGGTCTAAAAACAATTTAAAATATTGATACATTTAATTTCTAAATTATGCTTGGAAATTTTAGTTACGATCAGTATTAAAGTAGAATAATAATTTACGCAATATGCAATAAGATTTTATAAATTTTAATGTAAGTATATAATTGGATTTATTTTTTACTTTATATATTTATTAATTATCCCTTCATTATTTTCGTTTATCGGTTCTTAGTAACTAGTCACATTTGAAAGAACAACACTACATATATATTTAGAACTTTTCTATAAAAATAATATTAATGAGATGCTCTATTTGATTTACTGCACGGTGTCCTTTCCTATCTAATAACACCATTGCTTGTATTATACGTTTTCGACACAAGTATATTACTTCTTATTCTACTAGCCTTTGTGGGGCATATATGGTATCATTGTGGACTTCGTTATGGATCTAGTAATCTAAATAAATGACAAGATATGATGTGACATAAGTTTTTCCATTCTACTATGAATTATATAACACACGAGTATAAACTGCGAGTTGGACTATTCAAAACTTCCCGCGAGAACCGCAATTTTCCGAACAAATATAACAGTGTAAAGTATACGTACCTCTAAAGTTCAAGGTTGCAATAACTGAAATCTAAGCCAATAAAATATTATATCATCCTATAATATGTTATATGTATAAGTATTACGCACGCACATAATAGTAATTAAATTGTAAAAAAAAGGAATTATTTTATTTTATTCGTTTCTTGAGGTTTGCTATAAAATAACTAAAATATTAATTTAAAATGTGAACTAAAAGCGTCATAAAAATAAACAGTGTTCCCTTAACACATATAGTAATCATATTAAAAAGCCGTGTGCTCATTTTATCACGTAAAAAATAAATCAAAATCACTGTCCAATTTATAAATCAGTTGATTATACTCAGATGAGTTTAGGGCGCTTGAATTCTAGCTTAGAGAAATACAGACATAAAGGAAGTTTATTTAAAGAGGCTTTTAAGGATAAATATTATCGATATTTATGTCAAACCATGTTTCATAGACAATATTTGTTTTTCCCTTCCTTGAAGTTCTTTAAGAATAGAAATCTTTCACTATAGGTATTACCAAAAACCTTTAAATGCTTTTAAACGTGTTTAATGGAAAATAAAATTTATAACAATCAAGTTAAGCTGCCGCACAATATAGAATAATATGAATTCGGATAGTTCGAAAACTAAAATCAATCGATAATTTCATTTTTTTTTATTTTAATAAAAATTATTGGAAAATTACCGTTAAAAATTTAACAAGATACTAATACGTTGGAATTAAATAAATAAAGAGAGAAAAAATGAAATAATTTCAAAGAATCGGAACGAAAATGTCTGTTGGACAAATATACGAGTGTTATTGACGGACACGCGTTGCCGTTGTGTTCTACCATCTCATAACTCGTCTAATCGTCGTTTGACAGTCGAACGGCTCAATTTTCTGCTAATCTCTTAAAAGTTCTACAAAGTAAATGTTCCTGAATTTTGTGAAACATTACCAATAGCGATAAAAAGTATTGCAACTATTCACACAATGCACAGTGTCTGGGTAAGAGGAATGACAATACCATGAACTGAGCGATAATTTTTGGAATCGACCTTGTATGAAACTCGGACCGAATGATCGTATTAAAAGTATACTAGTAGATTTAATCAAAAAAATAAAAACCCAAATAATATTTTTCATAATGTCTCTAAGAATAGTTAGACAGAACATGTCTGTTTATAATTTGCATTTCTTTTTACGTTTTCCACGAAAAACGCTCGATTTTAATTGCGAACCCTCAACGTTATTTTGGGTTTTGGCTGTGAATTAATATAATTATTTATGTTCTAGTAAATACTTCATGCATTATTATTGTTATTAATAATAATTTCATTTTTCGATATTTTAATACATATAATTTTATAATTTAGTTATTATTAATCAATCTCTACACGTTCAGTGACAGCTGAATACGAAAATACGAAAAACGAATTGGAAGAATAATAATGATGTCTGTTTTAAATTCGCGGTCAAAAAAAAAAAAAAAATTAATTATTAAAAATAATAATAATAATAAATAAAATACACATAATCGATCAACAATGTAAAACCTGAAAAAAAAATAATTTTTCATTCTTCGGTCAATGGAAACTCCATACCGCCGCGCCAACCGGGAATAACAGCGAATAGGAGTGAAATTTTAACGCTTAAATTTGCGTTTTGTATGAACGTATAATTGAATTCATAAAAGCTAATTATTGCACCGAATTGTTAAGACTGATGTCAATCGTTCGGAACGTATGCTATTTGGGTAAAATTTACGATCATCCGACAGGTCGTTCACGTCGACGGTTTGCGACTGAAATGGGAGCGTTCTTTACGGGTCGCTTAATACATGCAAGCGTATTTCGTTATTTTCTCGCTCCGAAAACAGTATTTTTACATTAATGCCAGAAATTCAACCACGAACCGTTCTCGGACTTCTCCTTGAAAATCCTGGCCACGTTATCACGTAATTGCTTCGAATCGAGATGGCACCTTAGACCTAGAGCACGTATGCACAACAATTTCACAATCGACTGGTGAACAGAATTTGTTTTCCAAGAACATAATTTTTCTGTCGTATAATTGTACCATTGTACTTCGCGTATGGTTCTCCGATTTGAAGGAATTTTCGTTTGTTTTCTCGTCCGCGTACTACACTTAGGTATGGTACACAGTCCGGCCCGACTACGACAAAAAACTCACCGGTGTCCAGCTGGTAATTATTATGTTTCGTTGTTTCGACGTATCGTGTTTGTTGACCATTAACAAAATTCGTCCGTTAATATCGTTACATTCATTAGTCGTTCTATGAAACTGCATACTTACCCGCGAGTCTAAAGAATGTTTGCTCTTAAATATATATGCTTTGTAAAGGACCTTTTATAATAAAGGGGACATGGTGACGACTGAACAATCCTAAAGCAAACAAATAATTTTAAGGCTCACGAGTGAAAATTAATTAATCAATGCATTTAGACAATGTAAAAAAATTTAACACCGACAAAAACAATTATTTTGCGCTGCAAATACCATTGAAGTTACTTTGCTAGAAAAACTTAAAAATATTCCCGAGTCTAAATAAACAAAAATGATGTAAAACAGTATTGTCATTTTATTTTAGATTCATTATGTATGTACTATGATTAATTTAACTTAAAAACAATAACTTTAGTTTTTGGACTTTTAAAACAATTTTTTTTTAACTGCTACATTTATCTACAAAATAATTTCAATCCCTTAATTTCTATGGTATGGTGAGTTATAAGAATTTGACCGTTTAAAATTTAAAAATACAGTACGTAGAAAATTCTAATTAGAATTTATTATTTTTAAAACAATGTTGGCGTTGGACGGCATCCAATTTGTACTTTTATAGCAATAAAAATATCTTATTTATTCACTGTGTTAAGTTATTTCAGAACACAATAAGGAAGATATTGGTTTCACAATGTGTATTTATTTGTTTTTTAGTTTGGTGAACACTTTTTAAGTCAACGAATGGAACACAAATGTTTTATGTTTAAAATGTAATCGACCGGAAATTAAATATAGATTTACTTTATTTTGAGACTCATTTTATTGGTGTTAGTGGTAATACAATAAATGTTAAAAATAAAATAATTTATTTTAATCGACTGCATTTCGTCACATCGAAAACTAAATAACAGATAATTACCCTTGTTAATTTTAAATAATTCTAATTTCAGATCAATACACAATACTATGGTATAGTATAGTGAAATATTTGAAAAATAAATTATGATAACATTGTATTTTTCAATTATTAAGTACATTTAACATATTCATATTTCATGCGATCGGAAATTGGCTCAGATTAAACATCGAGTTAGCAGTACAGAAAAAATTTCCATTATTTCTTTTTAATCGTAAAATGAAAAACCATTTTTTTTTCTTTTTGATAAAATCCTTAAAAACGATCAATATATACTACAAGTATTGTTAACTAAATTAAAACTCGATTTGAAGATATATGAAATTTTTTTTGGTTTTTAAGATCTTCAATAATATTTTATGTGAACTTCTTTTTTAAATATTGAATAAGGATAATTATATAATTATGTACTCATAAATGTTGTACTTTAGTAATCAGTTCAATATTGTTTTCTATTTTATACATATTATTTTTTTTAATAAAATAGGCTACAAAGTAGATTATGTAAATTATTGTAAAATATGTAAATTATGCAATTCAAGCAAACTTTTTACACTTAGATCTATAATACTAGATTATATTTTTATAGTATTATTATGAATGATAAAAATTACCATAAAGATAACTTATAACTAATAATTAGACTTAAAAATCGCATTTTATATCTTGAGTACTTTTATGAAGTTATTTTTGTATAGGTTGGTGTTTTTCTCTCAATATGTTTCAACAACGTGAAACATTGTTATGGTTCATAAAATGTATTGTAATTTCCACCTTGATTTTATAATTCTATAGTATTAGCTTTTTTTATTAGTATGCTTTTTGATCTAACACAAAATAACGTTAAATATTACATGTAATTTTACCGGGATGATTATTTTTGAAATATTCCTGTACAAAGTAATGAGTAGGACAATTTCACATCGATAAAATACTAAAGCACCATCTTAATTCAATTTCCAAACGATTGAATTTTTTACATGAAATATTTATAATGTTTTGGCTACCTTCAATGTATTTTCAACACGAACAAACATTACTGTGAAATTAACAGCATCCCTTGGTTTTGTTCAAGATCTATTTAAATTCAAAAAAAAATGTATTAATTTATATCCAATATGGATATGCATATAATACAAATTATACACGTAATAAGTGTAATTATTGAAAAATATAATTTTCTGTATAACTTTGTATATTATAACTCTTTTATATTGAAAAGATCTTAAACATTTAAATATTTCTGTCATTTTGTTATCTAAATTATTCCTTACTACCATTTGTATAATAAAGCATTATAATACACATTTAAAATAGTCAATAAGTGTTCATACATTGCTTATCGAATTATTATATACTTCGATTATAGTCGTAAAATGTTTATATATTTTGAAGTATCAAAGTTGTTATTTAATATTATAACACTATTTGATCACGCTAGGATGACCGAAACAAGAGCTAATCAATTAATATAGGTGTGTATTATTGGTTTTAATTATTGTTAGTATCATTATATGAGTGGCGAATTATTAACTATATTGAAATACTATTAAAGAAATAATTTATGATCATATGCAGTGCCTATGATAAAAATTCAGAAAATATTGTCAAGCCCACACAGAAGAATTTTTATGAAGACTGGGTAACTTTTTAATAACTATTTTTTTACGGTTTAAAAAAGTTATTATATTAAAATTGCATTTAAATTTAAAATAATTAGTTGGTCGACAGTTCAAAAAAGCAAACTTTTATTTCAATTTTAAGATGAAAAACTGAAGATAATTATAACTTTAACTTTTTGTAAGTATGACCCGGTTGAGAAAATACTTGTACTGTACAGACACACACACACACACACACACACACACACACACACACACACACACA